TTGTTAGCCTTTGAGTTTGACATGCTTGGTGTAGCATAATGTGGTGACCCCTGCAGGAACTGAGCTCCAAGTCTTGGCAGGGCAGCTAGGAGGGTGAGGAAGCAGCAGATACAGGGTTTACTCAGCAATGAGGAACCTTTGGTGGCCACTCTGAGTTCAGCATGATACATCCGAGATGCCTTGAGACACCACAGGGATCCTGCAGGGCAGCTGGACCCACAGGCTGAGAACTAAGCAGGCAGTGTAGAAGCCCAGCAGGCTGGGAGTAAAAGCCAGAGGGGGTGAGGCCAGAGGCTGAGCAAGAGCTGCGTGGAAGGCGGCCAACTGTCCTGCGTGCTGCTGGGAGGCTGCTGCGGCCTGGATGAAACATCCCTACTGGCTATGTGGGTGACCTGCTCAAGAGGTCTGGGCAGTGAGTAGGAACCATCTGGAACCCCAAGCCTGATCCAGAGGAAAGGTGATCAACTGTCTGCGTGACTCAAGTGCATTTCAAATGCCAAGTGCTCTACCCAAGAGCCTCTCTCCCAGGAAAGGCCAAGGCCACCACACGGACGTTACATGGTGCTTGGATTCCAGCAACTACAGTCGTGCTCATGTTTGGCTTCTCGATTCTATTTTTGGGGCCACAGTAAACATGAATAGGAACACAGGTGCACTACTGAACTCGGGAAGCTTCTATGCTATTCCACACCTGTCCTTCACATTCAGGTTGGGCCTCACTCTCCCTAGGAGTCCCCCACTGAAATGTTAGTGCCTCTGAGCACACCCTAATACCTCCGAGAGCACCCTAATGCCGCTAATAACCCACATTCCTGAGAGCACCCCAATGGTTCTGAGCATACCCCAAATTCTCTGAGAACACCCCCCAATACTGAGAGCACCCTAATACCTCTGAAAACACTCCAGTACCTCTGAGAGGAACTCAATACCTCTAAGAGCCCCAATATGTCTAAGGACACCACAATACTTCTGAAAATACCCCAATACCTCTGAAAGCATCCCAATGCCTCTGTGAAGATCCCCAATACCTATAAGATCACCCCAATGCCTCTGAGAGCATCCAATACCTGAGAGAGCCCCAATATGTCTGAGAATACCCCAATAGCTCTAAGAGCACCCCAGTGCTTCTGAGAGCACCCAATACCATCTGACGGCCTATGGAGGGTGTTAGAGTCAGGAACAGGGGTGGCCTGGGGATGGGGGGAGGGGTTCTCCCCTGCACACAGCCCCCTGGAGGAGCCCTCGGGAGTCATTTGAAGAAGGTTGGAGGCTGCTGTATCCTCTTAAAGGACAGCTCCCAAGGCTTTGCTGGCGTGTGCTGGTCTCTCCCACGCGACCTTATGCTGTGAAATCCCTCCACAGGCTGTCAGGCTGGGACTCAGTGACCTGTCCCAGCCCTGGGGGATGCCACAGCCAGGCCAGGCGGCTGCCCAGGCGGCTGCCCAGGCCGCTTCCTGCCACTGTGAACACAGCCAGGAAGGCCAGGCGGAAAACGCCGCTCGCCTCTGCTGTCTCAGACAGGATGCCTGGAAGAGACATCCACTTACACCAGAATGCGACACCCACTGAAATACCTACCTATGATGGAGTCCCTCCGGAAAACGTCTCTATCGAAGATGTAAAATGACAGGTGACGAAAACTCCGAGGGATTTCACAGTAGAAGTCTTCTCCATAGAAGGGGCTGGACAAAGGAACAGAACGAGCACCGTTAGATTCTGTGAGGTGATGGCCTCGTCCTCAGTCGTGGCGTGGACGTCGCGGAGGGCGGGGGGGGGGCGGGGCGCAGACTAAGCACCGACCTGGGGCACACACGTGCACTCATTTTTAAGCACCACAAACACGCCATTCCGCGTTTTGCTTGTAAGACATGAAACTGCAATTTCTTAACTGGGATATAAATGAACTTAAGAGTGAACAGGCTGTAAAAATCTTCAAAGATGTGGCCCCAGCACTGAAGGCATGTCAAGTTAAATCAGCGTTTTTCAACCTTTTTCATCTCGTGGCCCAAGTAAACTAATTACTAAAATTCTGTGGAACACCAAAATATATAGTTTTTGCTGATTTGACCAAAAAAAAATAGGTATAATTTTGATTCATTCATACCAGACAGCTATTGTTGTGTTGACTGTTATCACTTTTTAATTTGACAACATAAGGAAAAAGATGTCAGTGCCCTGACTAACAGTCAGGTATTGCATGTTTTAAAAATTCCTGTGGCGCCCTGGTTGAAAATCGCTGCGTCAAATGAATGAATCGCTATGCTGGTTTAGCGACAGCTCAGGGAAACCAGAGAGCTCGACACAGATCGTGGCATTAACAAAACTATGTCTATTGTGTGTGTCCAGCTTTAGCACAAATGCTCCTGGGCTGCATCTTGAGGGTATAGGGTGGCAGGTGGCAGGCCTCACCCCTCGTTCAGATGGTACAGAATGCTCCCCTTTCTCCAGGAGTAAGGGTTAAATTCCGACCAGGCCACCATCCACACCTCTCACCGGGGAGGGGAGCCTTACCCACCACAGCCAACTGTCCACACAGACCCTGAGGCTCATTCACCCACAGGTGGAGACTCAAAATAAACTAAAAATTCTAATTGAAGGGCCAGAACCCCTGGGCTGTCCTAGCCGGGCACAGACAGAGGTTAGCAGACACACTGGTTCATGAAAGCCATGGTGAATGTGCACGGCCCCACCATACCTGCATCCACCGGGTAGGAAATGGAACAGTTACTTCAGCACACACACCTACAACTACCTTGGAATCTGGCATGATTCCACTTTCACGCACGCTCATGGCTAAGGTCCAGCATAGGAAACATAGAGTAGGTCAAGTAAGAACTAAAACAGTGTGCTTCATTTTGTTAGGAGAAAGAGGGATGTAGGCTGCTGACCAAGTATGAAAAGAGAGATGGAAAGACTTCATACCATGAGTGTCTCCTAGTGAAAGTTTACTGTGAGTGACACAGACATGACAATAGGAAAGAAAGGGAGGAGGGGGGAATCAGTTCCCAACTAAGAGAGCTCCAGGGCTGTATTTCCTCAAGTTCAGCACCTCTGAAATCAGAATGTATCCTACAAGCAATGTCAGAAAAAACTGTTTCATAGATTAACTAGCATTGTTTTTTCCAGTGTACATAAAATGATGGTACATCCCATAATTGACAAATGTCGCAGATTCCATAAAATACAGAATTGTTGATGGCATGCCACGCCATTATTTGAAGGTCATGAGCACAAAGAGTTGGAGCCTTGAGGAGCTCCAGGGTCATCGCAGGGAGAAGGGGGAAAAACAAATAAGCCATCACAGAAGTAAGGCATGATGGGAAAGTGAAACCCGGTTCAGAAGGGACAGAAGGAATGGGGCACAGAGTACAGGAGAGGAAAGCAGTAGGCAAGGAGGGAGAAGGACAAGTCTGGGATCCCAAATGGACCCACAGTGGGCACAGTCCATGACTGGACCCAAATATACTGAGTCAGGGCAAGAGAGTCAGTGAGGAGGAAAGGCTGAGAGAGGCAGAGAAACCAGCAGGTCTGACAGCCCTTGTCAGAAACCCAGAAACCAACCAGTGTGCCAATCCTTCCAGCTAGAAAGACAAAGGACCCACGTTGGCCAGCACATGCTTGAGAAAGAAGAGCAGAGGTGGAGGACTCACAGTTCCAGGTTTCAAAATTTACTGCAAAGTGACAGTAATCAAAACAGTGTGGTCCTGGCCCAGGGACAGACAGATCCCTACCTCACACCATGCAAAAAAAAATTAACTCGAAGTAATCACAAAGGGCTAAAACGGTAACAACTAAAACTATAACTATACAGAAATAAATCTTTGTAACCTAGAGGAGGGTAAAACATTTTTAGATATGACATCAAAACAATTTCTAAGAGAAAAAATATCAGTAAGCAAAACTTCATCAAAATTAAAAATATTGTGCTTTAAAATACACTATTACGAAACTTCAAAGAAAGACTAGGAGAAAATCATGTATATGATGTAAAACTTGTATCCAGAATACATTTTAAAAAAAAACTTTTACAGCACAATAAGAAGCAGGTAAGTAGTTCAATTGAAAAACGGGCAAAAGATTTGAACAGATATATCACCAAAGAAGACAAATGATCCACAAGCATATAAAAAAAGTTTAACATCATTAGCCATCAGGGAAATGCAAATTAATTGACAAAATACCACTTCCCACCCACTAGGATGGCGATAATAAAAAAGATGGCAACAAGTATTAGGAAGGATGTGGAGAAATTGGAACCCTCTTACATTGCCGGTGGAAATGCAAACTAGTGCAGCCACTTCGGGAAACAGTTTGGCAGGGTATTAAAAAGTTAAACACAGAGTGATGACAGGGCCCTGCAATTCCTCTCCTAGCAATACCCAAGAGAAATGAAAATGTGTCTATACAAAAACTTATCCATGAATGTTCACAGCAGCATTATTCACAACAAAAGGTGGAAACAACCCAAATGTCATCCAGTGACAAATGGAAAAACAAAATCTGGTAAATCTATACAATAGATTCTTGTTTGGTGATAAAAAGGAACAAAGTGCTGATGAATGCTACTACAATAAACCTCAGAAGCATGCTAAGTGAAAGAATACAGATGCAAATAAAAAAATCCATTTATAAGAAATGTCCAGAAAAAGCAGATGTGTACAAAGTAGGCCAGTGAATGCGGGAGGCTGGAGGTGGGAGAGAGGTAACTGCAATGGGCTCTTCTTGAGTGTTCTAAAATGGATATAGTGATGATAACACACTGTAAATTTACTGAAAATTGCTCCATTTTACACTTTAAAATTTTCTACAGCCCTGGCCAGGTGGTTCACTCGGTTGGAGCGCTATCCAGTGTACCAGAGGGTTGTGGATTCGATTTATCCAGGGCATGAGTGTGTGGGTTGGGGGGGTACCATTGATC